CAAAAATCTGTGTGCACGACTGCGTGCTTGGTCTCACACCTCGTTCAATAACCACCGGTTTTCACTCTATCAATAATTTCAAAGGTGCTTTTCCTATTTTATTTTCATTTTAATGCAGTTTTATAGATCTATTGTCTATTGATTCATTCTTAATTTAGTTACCTGCTATGCACCTGTTATCATGTTCAGTTCATATATTGTTATTCTATGAAATTGTTGCTCAGCGCATTCGTGTAGCTTAGCTATCTTATTTTATATGTTTATCGGCGTCCAATCTTTGTTGGAAAAATACTTCTGTAAATATGTTTTTGTTTGGGTGAATCTATTTTTCTGTTCCGTTTGAATTTTAATATGTATAATTATGAGGTAGACGGATATGTAGGGATTTTCATGTCACTAGCATTGAGATTTGGATGGAATTTTTGTGAATTTTTTATTCTTTCGAGCCTGTATGCATAACATTTTTTATTTTTATTTGGCTGGAGGGTTATTCACTTTACTGGGGGTGCTATAGATTCGATATCAATTGTCTGGTTTTTAGAATTAAAACATAAAATTGAATTTGATCATTATTGATGAAGCAAAAGAAAAGAATTCAAACGAAAACCTAGAGATCATAAATTTTGGAATCCACCAAATTATGGAGAAAAATAAACTTTACAAATTTTATTAATGAATAATAATTAAAAAAAAAAAGAACTGACCCCTTATTTATAAGGATTTACATGGAAACGTAATTTAAAATAACTAAAAGTAATGAAAATAGAGTCTAAACAAACTAGAATTGCAAAAAAACCAATATAAACGAATTTACAACATAGCACCAAAACTTTAAAAATCAGTATTCGAGTCCTAAACGAACTTGAATGGCCGAAATTCATCGTACATCACGGCATAGCAGTGAGTATTGTTCCCCTCATCGTTTTCTTTTCCAAATGGTCTTATAGGCCCGATCTAAAATTAAAATGTTCTATTTTTACTAATACTCTTTTTTCAATATACATATTATGTCCTACATTAGAGGAGCATGGAGGAACCAAAGAAGGTTCTCAATCCGAAAATGGAGGCTTTGTTATTTATTTTTTTTGTATAATTAAACAAAAGGGTCAAATCGTCCAAGTATTACAAAAATAAAAGATTAGAAACGAGGCCACCGAAATATTAGGTTGGGAACCTAACTTGCTCTTTTCAGTAGGTTTGGGGAGCTGTAACTTTCACATTATCGTAGATCACTGTTAACAGTAGTTTGAGCCTTCAAAATTTCATCGTAATTGGAGTTAAAACATTGAAGTTAATCAAATGATTTGTGGATGCTCTTACCGTATTGAATTAAGAGATGGAATTGAAAAAAGATATGGCAAGGGAATTTATTAAGGTAGATTACAATGTTTTATTTTAACATGGTGCCTTGATGACGTATTGAATAAGCATAAAAAATTTTGGTGTTTGAGCCTCATTTTTATTGAAATTGTATTTTGTAATCGTACTTTTTTTTTTTTTTTTTTTTTTGAAAAAAATGTGGTTAATTTTTTTTTGGAAAGAAATGTGGTTAAAAAGTAGAAAAATGTTTTTAAGTTTATATATAAAACTATTTTATTGAGATAATTTATGATTGAAAACGAGTTTGGAGTGAGTTTTTGAAAAATTGAGATAAAACATGGGCTTAAATAACCTTTTTTCTATAAATATATTTTTGGAATACTCTAGTTTAATTTTTTTTTGTTTTTAAAAAAAAACCTTTTCTCTTACTTTTAAGTTTAAAATTTTTCCTAAAAGTAATTCTTATGTTTACGACAAAATAAATATCTTACTTAAACCTTTGATAAAAAAATAAAAAATAAAAAATAAAAAAATAGTTTAGTTTAAAATTTACTTATTTGCTTATAGGTAGATTTATTAATTTAATTATAAATATATTTAGCCCCCATTTGGTGCTGATTAAAAGTGATTTTTTAGTAAATTTTGATATAAATTGATAAAATATGTGGTTGAAAAATTGTTAATTAAATAAAATATGTTATTAAAATTAATTTTTAACTTCGACTTAGATTAATTTTTAGATTTTACTTTTCGCCCATGATTTGTTTGGATAAAATGGACCCACTGTACAAAATTTCAATGCTTTACAAATTTTTGGTGTAAAGTTTATTTGCAGTAATTGAACTTTCAACGAAATCATAATTGGATCATTAAATTTTAATTTATCTCAATTGAGTTCACTGAACTTCAATTAATTTCAAATTTCACAACTCTATTCTTTTACCATTGTCCCCAAAGTGATGGAAATTGCTCAATTGGCATCCATATCCTAAACAATCTTCCACGTTATCGTTGCATGGCACCCTAGTTATGAAAAATGACGGTTATAGTAACATCTATAAATTAAAACGTTAAAATGCATATTTATATTTATTTTAATACTTTTATTAAGCGATGTAGTGATAAGATGACATGCCACACAATGATTGCATGGAAGATTTGTTGCAGTATGACTGTCAATTAGCAATTTTCTTTAAATTGGAAGACCATAAGTAAATACAATTTGAAACTAAATTGAATCGAGAGATCCCATTGAAAAATCGAAGAACCGTTCCAAATATCTTCAACATTCGAAAACAACTTTATTATTAGTTTCTATTTTCTATTCAAGAATCAATAGGACAAATTTTGTCATAGGTTTTTATTAGATTTCATATATACAGGTGATAAGTATGTTTTTACACACTTATTTGGTTCACAAACATGACTTAAACATGGATAAAATGATTGAATTGTGACTTAATCTCATTGAATTCATGCAATGTAGGTGTTTCTATGGAAATAGTGGAATTCAGGAGAAGAGAGCCGAAAAAGGACTAAAATGGAGCAAAGTGATAGTTCAGGGACTAAGGATGCAAATATTCGAAAGTTGAACTAAAAGACAACTCGGGAATGCAAATATGCTAAGTATGAACTCGAAAGCAATACAAGATGATTGGAAGAAGAAGGAATTGCAAAGGGACTAAAATGAATTAAACTGAAAGTTCGGGGACCAAGTTGCAAATAATTCATAGATGAGACGGGAAATGGAATGAAGATTCAAGAGTGTTAGAGGTCAATCGGATGAGGAAAGGAGTCACGAGGTGAAATAGGGTCGAAGTATTATCAAGTATCAACTTTCAGGCGAAAAAACTATACTCGTGATTTTTAGTATCTACTTGAGATCCATTTTTGACATAGTAAACATCAGAATTTGAGGAAGGCTATTTCTATCAAAATGTAGATCTTTGAGTTTTCTTCACAATGCACTTTGAATCACTTCAATCGAAGATCAGGAGAGAAAGTTATGACCAAAACACCAAACACTGTCCAGCGAAAAGAATTGTATAACTATGCGGTCGCATAGTATAAATTCTATGCGGTCGCATAGAAGCCTCCCGAGAACTTTTTCTCAAATTTTTTTACTCTATGCGACAGCATAGAAATGTACTATGCGGTCGTATAGGTATAATCTGGGGGCCGTTTTGCAGTTTCCTTATACGATTGAAACTCCTTTGGTAACCTAATTTTCACGCGATTTAAATACGAAAGAACGTCCAGAAGAGGGGGAGAACGTAATTGGAGGCACAAAAACACAATTTTGGAGGATTTGGAGAGGAAGAACAAGGCAAAAACAAGGCAATCCACTTCAAGATTCAAGATTTCACTTCAAGAATCAATTGGGTGATGTTCTTCCTTGGTTTTAATTGTTGTTTTTCTTTATTTCCAATTATGTTAGGCTAGATTTTCATGTGCTAGGAGATCGATGTACCATGTGATTTGAGTTTTATATTTCTAGTTTTGCAATTTGACATTAAAACATATATAAATCATCGTAGGGTCCGATAGGGGATAGAAATATACCGCTATGCCCTACGTGAATCTTTAAGTGTTCATAAAACTACATGCATTTTTACATATGCACTTGTCATAGAAATATAGGCCCGTGGTATGTAGAAATAGGTTTGATACATCTCGAGAGAGAGTATTGGATAAACTTAGGAACATTGATTCGTCAACAATTGAATTATGTTGTCATATTGTGAAACTAGAGTTTAAAATGATAATTGCATTGGAAATCGTGATCCTAGTGTGTTTAATTTCTATTGATTACAACAAACGTGCGTTCTCAACAATTGATTTCATTTTAAAGTTTTAAATTTTTGTTTTGCTTATTAATTTCATTACAATCATAAAAGCTGCATAAGTAGGGTTTTCTTTCCAATTTTAGAGTTTTAATTAGGTCCACATTCATTTTGAGTAATTTGATTTCGGTTAAGGTCGAATAAGTAAAATTGAACTAACCAATCTCTGTGGGACGATACTTGGACTCATTAAATCCACTTTATTACTTGTTAACGAACCGTACACTTGCGGTAATTTAAATCGAAAGAAAATATTTCGCGAACAACAGGTAAATTCAACAGGAAAGTTGTACCAATCTTGAGAATATTTGCCTGTGCTGTACTCTTTAACAACCCCACCATGCACCAGCACTCCCCTCCCAAGAAAGTAAAAAAGAAATGGGGTCTTGAGAGTGACAAAAAAGAAAAAAAGTCGTTGAATGAAACTTGCTTTAGGCATTTATCATCTGTATCTCTCAAAGTATACTATTTCCAACCACATATGACATATTAGACAATCAATTCGATATCGATAATTTCAGTCTCAGGTTTTGGTTTTGTAATTTTTCCATGTAATGATATTCATAGTATTGGAGATGATGAGATAATCCACTTTTGGCCTTTCAAGCCCTTTCTTATGACCATTTTCAAAGAAGTTTCATTTGTAAGTTCTGTTGTCATACTTGGATACATATTAAGATGAAATCTTTGAGTAGAGTGGGGCTTGGTTTGAGTGTTGTTTTTGGGTGTTTATTACTGGCTCTTATTGCTGAACTTTACTATTTGTTATGGTGGAAAAAGAAGATCACAGAAAGTGGTAACGACGAAGAAGATAGTTGCCACAGTGGTACGGGAAGAGAGTTGTTGTGTTGCAAAAAGGCGTCATCGAGTTCTAATGCTCAACAACTGTGTACCTCTAATGCTCTAGTCCATGAACCACAACCTCATCATCACCTTCATGTCTATTCAAATCTCAAGCCATTCGGAGAAGATTTATCCGGCGTGGAGGCTGAAATCAGGATGCTGCAGCAGAATTTCTCCGGCCCGCCAAGATTTCTCTTCACAATAACCGAAGAAACGAGGGAGGAAATGGAGTCCGAAGATGATAGGAAGAGCGCGAAGAAATCGAGAAGTAGGAGTTTGAGTGATTTAGTTGAGATTGTTGAAACTCCATTCTTAACTCCTTCAGCTCATTCGCCTCCATATTTCACTCCTCCTTTGACTCCTACACATAATCTAAAGCAGGGTTTTAATCCATTCTGTGAATTAGCAAGTGATGCAGCATTTAATAGTGGTTTAAGGTCGTCTTCTTCACCACCTCCAAAGTTCCAGTTCTTGAAGAATGCTGAGTACAAGCTTCAGAGGAAACAACTAAATACGAAAGATGAATCTGTTCAACTTGAAGTCCCTTCAACTTCAATGTTCATAAAAGATGAGGAAAATGGGTCATTCATCACACTCATTGTAGCTCAAAATAAACAAGAAGAAGAGACTAAAGGAGTTAACAATTCAAGCACTAGTTCACAGGTTTTTTCTCTACCTTCTTCCTCTCTAAACTTCAAAATACCATCCGACAAGCGACCGATGCATCAGAAACTCGATCGCAATTGAAACAGTGGGAGATTATGAAGCTTAAGTTGTTTTTTTATACAAGTGATTGCGAGTCACAGGAGTAGAGATGTAAAACAGGTCTAGACTGCCGCGGTCTAGTTGTTCGGCCTACTAGTATGTAAAATGACAATGGTTCAGGTTAGAAAGTTTTAAAAACATAAAACAGTCTTGAGTACATCTTGATATTGTAAAGGGTGAGTTAAGCTTTTTATTTTTCCAGCTTGGTAATCGTTTCATAACATTATTTTTGGTTGTCAATGAAAGATGTGTATCATTATTTATTTTTCTCTTTTACTAAGAAAGCTGAAAGAAATAATATTAAAATTTGTGGGTCGGACTATGTTTTGGACTTTTGAAAAGAACAAAACAGACAATCGCCCGTGATTAATTCTCGTGTTTGAAACCGAAAGGTACCCTACTTGAAAATCATTTGGTCTTTACTTTTTCTCGGCCAATTGATTATCAACTGTCGACAAAAGTTAGGCTGCACATGACCGGCTCCAATGTCCTTCTATCTCATATAAGATATATATCGATATATATGGGAAAAGGAAGGGCCACCTGACTAACTAGGTAAGGGAGACCGGTAAAAAGCAGAGCAATAGACGCACTCTATCCTTGGCATGACACTACCATATAGTAGTAGCAAGACATAAATCGAATTAGTCAATTGGGATATTTGTGCTTGCCGTGATAGGTTAAACCGGTATATATAAAGAAAATTGGTTCTAATCAATCTCAAGTAGAAAAGAGGCACCAAGGTGGGGGCAGTTCCTTTTCCATTTTTTATATACTTTTGGAAGAAGATCTTCGATGCCAAGTTCTTCCGGGAGACATGGAGCTGCTTAGAGCAAGTAGAAAAGTTAGTAGTCCAAAGAGTTGGAGTGGGATGAAGAAGATTGTTATCAAATCCAAAAGCGTGACGTGATAATTTTTATGTTCACGATCTAACAAGAAGCAAGCTGGTTTTAATTTTTCTCTTCACGATCTAACAAGTAAGTTGGTTTGCCAGAATTTTTTTATCACCTTGATTGACATCCTCTCACATGCACATGCGTAAATAAAAAAGTCCAAAAAAAAAAGAAAAATTGGACCCCTTCATTGTGAGTATCGAATAGGTTGCACGTCAACCATTTTCTGACGACATAACATGGTTCACTCAACAATGTACCAAATACATCAAATGTAACATTCAATATAGTCAATCAGGGCTTAAAGGGCGTGATGCCTTTCAAATCACATTGCAAGAATGCGAATGATTTCAATAATTAGGTTCCAATCAATCATACTTTACACTTAACGTCTCGCAAAGGTGTATCATATATATCATAAAGTTAAGTAGAACACACTTTACCTTGGGTGTCTTAGAGTCGTTAAGCCAAGCCCTTTGACAGACAGAGAGCTGCTACTGCAACTCAAAATTCAAATAGAGTGGCTGAAATTTTCGATGAATAGTGTGTTATCAGTAGCGCACTAGGCTAGAAGCTGGCTGAAAAAGGATATGCCAGAAGCGCGATACTTGTGCAACAGGAAATCAAAATTGACAATAATATTTGGAAAAAGAAATGGCCCGAGATATAGAAGTGATAACATAGCAATCACCATGTTTTCTCTTATACCAACAAATTAATCCTCAGCGCAACATACTTCAGTTATGTTACAGAAACTTCATCACCACGTAGTAACAAAAGGAAAAATGATTCTCCAAAAAAGGTGGGACCGAAAAATATTACATCATTTTCTTTAAAATTACAGTCCAGAGAAAATGGAATCGTTTCTCGTTGAATAGAAAAGGGGCAAAACTAAGCAATATTATACTTACAAGTCGAGCAATATAAATCAAATCAAAAAGAAAGAAGAAAGATACTTTGGATAACTCAAGGCAATTTCTAGCAGACAATTGTCCTCAAAATACTGTTAGCTTCTTTAAAGAGTACTCTCCAATATTGTAGCATTGAGGCCAGATCCAAATGATACTATAAAGTGAAAAAGGATAAGATTAATTGTTGAGTCAGAGTCCAATCGTCGCAATAGCTGTTATTCCCATTTCAACACATAAATCGTTGATATCAGGTTCCTTCAACAGACTAAATGCACAAAATCCATAAAAAGAATGGTAAAGATCTGGCAGCAAACCCGGGAATTTACTGAAACCACCATACTGACATGAATGAAGAAGAAAAAGAAATCATGAGTTCAGAGAGAGTTTCTGGAAAATATGGGAGCTACTACTGCTGAATTGTAAATGAACTCTTCTTGCTATACTTCTTAAATAGACAACAACACAGAAGGATTGGGGGGCTGAAGAATTTTACGATTACTATCTTTTACATCTTCATAGGAAAGAATTAAGTAATGCAATAACATTCAGCCTTATACAAAGTCATTAAATCATAAGTCGTGGACATTTGACCCACAATCTGAGGGCTCACAAATCAAGCCAGATTGCAAGCTTTCTGAGCTTGGCAAAAGCTATGCTCAGCTCAAGTTTATTCAAGTCCAAGCTGAGCTTGAGGTTGATGGTGGCAGCTTGCAAATGTTCAATGTTGTGTGTGTATAGTTTACCGGTAGGAAAGTAAACAATTAGTTTTCATATTATCAGCTTCAGCTTAACTTGAATTAGGCTCAAATCATGCTTAAATTCAAACTCCATACTTCTTATTCAGCCTATCTTGAGCCTCAACATCTAAGGCTCAGTCTCAAGTGCCTGGCATGGTACTCCAACCGTGTCCATAACATTACCATGCAGGCAGGCAGGCACCATGTCATGGCCAAATATTAAAGAAATAGAAGGTTGTAAAGATCAATATTCTCATGTTGTGAAGTTGAATGCACGTCTGCATATTCACGAGTTTCTGTAATCATATGAGATTTTTTGGGTAAAAAGTATTTTACAATGCCATAAATCTAAATTATTTTACTTCTGTGCAATTGCTTGGACCCTAAAGTCATAATTGACATATTGTAGATATAATATGAATATGGGCGACCTAAGCAACAAGGAGAAATGAAAGCACCTTTGATTGACATGTTAATAGAAATCCACGCAAACCTCCCTCATCAATGAATTTATCAGCCCCCAAGATCCTTAGAACTCCTCCAATCCTACACATACACAAACCATTGTGAAGTCATGAAAAACATATTGAATAAACTGAGAATATGCAAGGGTCATTTACCATACCAAAAGGCATAACATGTATCAGCTGACTTGTTTATTCTACCTTGAAAGCCACCATCTTGTGCCTGCCTCTGCACCCGACAAAAGACGGTGAAATCACTCTCATCAGAGCAAAACAAAGATTCGACAGATAGCAAGGAACTAATTAATATCATGAGAAAAGAGGTGAGTTTTGAAGGCATTGATTAATAAAATATATATCCAAAGGGAGCTTGGCTGTCCTCCATTTTCCATGAACTGAGGTGAAGCTTAGTCATTGTCCTCTAAATTAAATTAGAAATAAACCTGCAAGCTCCAATGAATAAGCAATGGCACGTTTATGGTGCAAGAAGATGCATTTTTGGACAGTATCTCTTTATCAATAAATCCCATCAGTCGGAGAGCTGCAACAGCACAGTAGGTGGCACCACCTGTGACACTAAAAGACTTACCATCCATGAGTGTTAACAATGTGCATTAAATCAATTAACATTCATGGTTCATGGTTCAATGTAATACATTCTGCAGCCAAACAAAAGTGGAATATGTTTCCAGTTTAGCACAACTTCATTACCTTATTCAAAACATCAAGGTAGAAAATCATTAGAAATAAATACTACACTCATAATAAAATAAGCATAGACCAGGCCTATTCTTTAAGATCTCTCAAACCAATAGCACTGGTACCCACTTCTTATTGAACTAATCAATTGCAGCAATATGTAAGCTTTTTAAGATAGAGAGCCAAATATAGTAAAAGAGATTGACCACAGTAGACAAAAATAAACCATGATAACCAAGGCTTTGACACCAAATTTTATGCCAGGTTGGATAAAAATAAAGGAAATAGACTTAAGGAAATTAAAATATCTCACCATTTAAAGGGGCCTTGGCAAGGGATACAGGGCAATGGAAAGCACAATTTCAATGCAATCCACCAAAGAGAGACAGTTTCTGAAATGGGAGTAGACTTAATATTCAACTCTCTCAAAAATTGTCTTCAGAATATACTAGGAGTAGGAGCATGCTATTTAATGGGCATACATGTAATCTACTAATACATTATTATTATACATGAATCCTAATTAATACTCTAAATCCATCATCTATATTCGAAGTCGGTTGAAAGACGATTATCGTGGAGCATCAATATTCAGTTAATCAATTTCAAGATTCATATTCACACAATCCTGTGTCACCAAGCTGACCAAAATAATGCTGGGGTGATAACATTTTTGCAATGAGTTACATCTGGGGCGAGTAAAGCAATATTAATTCACTCTCAAGTGCTAAGTAATGATAATAAGTTTCTTGCAGGATTGAAATGTGATTCTGAGGAATCTGTAGGTTAGGTCTTATAATTCTCTCCCAACAAGTCCAATCTTAATTCTCTTTTTCTTAATAGTAGCAACTATAAAATAAGAAATTACCTTTGGTTAAATATTTAAAATGATAAGAGAAGTTAAATTGACAGCCAGATGATTTACTGGAGGTAATTTATCATCAAGGCTATATACTAATCATGTTGACCCAGATATTCCCAAGTATCAATGATATATAAATTCGATAAGGCCTGTCATAATAATTTTCATGAGATACCGTCCTTCGCACAAAGCTGTTCTCAGGCAGCAAAAATAAAAAATAAAAATAAATAAATAAATAATAATAAACGTTTGCTTTTCATTGCATATAAAACCTCAATGCTGAAAACGTCTTTTACTATATTATTTTCTATATTTTGTCTTTCCCCTATCCTGTTTCTAGCGGAGGTGATCACATCAGGGGCTTTGAAATTGGATAATCCATTATAGTTACAACAGTAGTGTTTTAATCTATGAACAGAGTTATCAATAAAGGCTGATTCCAGCAGAAAATGTCAACTCAGCTCAAACTTTAAGACGTGACTTTCTTTCACCAGCAGATCATAAAAAGGAATCTACATGGTAACTTTTTGAGAAAAAGGTGCAGGCAACTCATTTCATGGTTAGATAGATGAATGTGAAGACAGTCAATATAGGGTTACACAAGCAATATACCAGCAAGTCAGACCAAAAGGGAATATGGAATTTCTAACCACTCACCGTGAGATTCTGAACCAGGTATCAACCCAAAACCACCATCATATGACTGCAAAGCACGTGCAATAATTCAAGAACTTAAAATTATTATTCTGAGAAGAAAACATCAGAATACAGCCCCTGTTTGAGCCTCATTTTTTCAAGAATGCATTTTTTCAAATTTCATGTTCAACCACAAATTTTCCCACAAAGAGGGTGTTTGGGAGATTTTTTTTGGTAAAAAAGCATTTTTGAATAGTAAATTGATGGGAAATGTGTGGTTGAAAAATAAGCTAAAGTTTTTAATTTACGTATAATATTATTTTAATAAAGAATGTGATTGAAAAGAAGAAAGAGAAAAATGTATTTTGAAAAAAATGGGTACCAAACGGGGCCAAAGTAATTATACACTTATTTAAGAAAAAATTCCTTACTTTTTAACCACACATTCTCCAAAAAATCACTATTTCATAATACATTTTACCCCAAAAATGGGGATCAAATAGGGGCATAATGAAAGATACCATAACAGAAAAGAAAGGAGGTACGTCAAATAAGAAGAACAGAAGATGGCTAAAAGAATGTATAGCAGATTAAATACCTGGCAACTTATTATGTAATTCTTAGCTTTCTCCCTGTCCATACCACTCCAGTTCTTCAACAAGGAACAAATTGCCGCTGCATCAAATAGTTGGCTAATTTACATTCAACAGCAACTAAAACTCAAACAAATAATTGTAAAGCATATTCTTACCTGCACAAAATACAAACCGGAGATCCGTCTCTGCCCCAATATGAATGGGCATAAAACTAGGACAGATGAGATATAATGAGTCAGATAATCAGAACAGTTTTTGAGATTAGTTTTATTAGTCCACTCTTTCAAGATATAATTACAAAAGGATAAAGTAAAAATTACCACCATATCATCCTTTGACCTATTAAACGCCACAAGAGTTTGATAACTTATTTTCACTTTTTCAGTGAAACATTAACTGGTCTAAAGCATTTTCTTAAAAGTTAAAACTAAGTTACAAGAAGAATTTTACTTAGACCATCCATGAAGCCTTCTGATGAGGACTTCTACTTTTTATTTATTTTTAGTTGTACTTTATTTATGTTTTGAGATTCTTATTTATGTAATTGGGCTTGTATCAGCCCAAATCCATTCTAGTTAGGGCTTTATTGTTACTATTTAAACATAATTTGTCTTGTAATTTTCTTTAGTTTTTTATGAATGAATTATATTTTGGTGGCTTGTTGCCTATGGCTTCTCCTTCCTCTCCCTCTCCCTCTCCCTCTTCCTCTCTCCCATGAATTTCTGCTTTTCCTCCACTTTCTCCCCCCATACTCTCCGATTCTCCCCTCTTTTTTGCTTCTTTTTTCTATTCTTTAATTCGTCCAGCATCAAATTTGGCATTAGAGCCGAAACTTGGGTAATCTCTCATCTACAATTCGAAACTTTTTCCTATTTCCTGCCCAAAATTTGTCTGAACAGCATGAGCAAAAAAAATTTAGTGTGAGAGCAGCTGATTTATTTTTTCTAGCTTCTTCGTAGTTGCCCCAAAAAAAAAAAGCGTTCCTATTCATCATATTGTTCACAGCCGAAAAATTCATTTTTAGTATTTTGGTCAGTCCCTAAAAAAAAAAAGAAATTACTGTTCATATGCGGAAATTTCATTTTAGGTTTTTTCTGCAATTTCAGTTTCACCAAAAAATAAAAAAAAAAAGAATTCTCGTTTGCTACTGTTTCTTCTACACTATTGTAGTGTTGTTCCACAAATTCCAACCCTAACATTCAATCCTACTTACACACGGTCGAATTCCGTTTAGCTCAATTAACCCAGCCTACTCTCTACGACACAGCCCCAAACACTAACCTCAGATGGCCCATCTCTATAATACGATCCAAACCCCTTCCCATTTAGCCCAGTCCCAAATATCCGACCAAACTCAATTATAACCAATCCATTAATATCAAATACCCCCACAGTTTCACCCGATTCCTCTCTCACAACCACTCTCCTGCTGCTGTCGCCTCTAATCACCACTACGCCGCCACTTCATTATCTATTGTACCCAGGCATCCAACGCACTACCGCTTCACTGCCATAGGCCACCACCACCAACCCAAGATCATACACTTCCACCGCAGTTACCGCACTCATATATTTCTCTGTCCATCTCAATAATCTAAAAGTCACAGTTACCACACTCAGTTTTACGTCCACACCAGAACCAGCACAAGTTACAGTCAACAGGGGCTAAAACCATTGGACATGAAGGGAAGAACAGAAGGCATAGTTCGGGCTCATAAGTCGGCGCCTCAGATTAATCGGCATACAGACAGTCACAACCAAACAATGGAGAGTCCTTGAACCCTTTTTATTATTGGTTTTTACTACTGCTTCATTTTTAAAAATTGCATCAATTAAAATCTTTGTGCTGCTGTTACGTCATAAATTTTATCTTTACACTACTTGATTGGAATCGTTGACTGAATAATTTTCAACTTTACCTTGCTTACCCCACGGGGTTAAAGATTTTGATTCGCCATTTGTATCCTTGCTTTTTGTTTTATTCGAATAAGCATTATTAGCTTGTTACATTTGTATTAACATAACCCCAAATTTTAATTTAAAAGAAAAAAATGCTCAAATTGTTACTTTTCATTGCTTGCACTTATTGTTCATTGATCTCTCTATTGAAAGTCATTTAGCTGCTAGTACAGTGCATGCATAGTGGTTGATTGGTCGTCTTGTCATTCCTCGTTTCAGTACCTAGACATGGACTCTTCACAATTTGAGGCACTCACTAGACAATTAGCTCAACTTGTCACTAGCCAGCAACGCTTACAAACTCAATTAGCAGCTTTCCAAATCAAGATGGCTGCAACTCGTGAAAAGAGCAGAGATCTAGTTGCTAATCTGAACAATTTTACGCAAATCCCTCATTCGATTGATGTTAATAATTCAAAAACGTCCCACAGTAGACAATATCGTGTCAACAAGGTGATCAAAAATATTTTCAATATGATCACAAGGAGAGTTCTTTTGGAGACTAAATTAGACACTCCTACTTTTGATGGTTGCCTAGATTTTGAAGTTCTTACTCAATGGAATGCCCTTAAGCAAGGGAATCGGTTAGTGACTAAGTATATTGCTCAATTTGAGGAGTTTCAAATGAAGCGTCATGTCATTAAGAATGAAGCCTTAACTTTGAATAGGTTTATACAAGGTCTAAGAGGTGAACTTAGGCGTACGCTATTCTTTCGAGGTATCACTACTCTTGATCACGCCTACTCTTTAGCTCAGGACTACGAGTTACTTATTAGTGCTCCATATGAAAAGCGTAGTCACCATCATTCACCTATCTCTTCAGCACCACCTCGTCATAAGTCTATCATAGAGCCTTCCTCGTCTAATGTTCCTCCCATTTGGGAAAATAAGTGTAAAGGTCATGATATCCCACGACCTTCTTCATATCGAAGCCGTAGCGTCATTCCCCTTTTCATCTCATCAACACCCCTTCTCCTGTTAAGTCCCTTCTAGGTCCTCCCCCATCTAATGCTCCTCCTTTATTAGACAATAAAGGTCAAGATTTTGAAACTTCAATAACTTCTTCTCATTTGCAGTGCTTCAACTATAAGGACTTTGGCCACATCTCTTCTGAATGTTCTAATCGAGCTTTATTCATTGAAAAACAAAAGAATATGATAGATGAGCGATTAGAAAATCAAATATATGAACCTAAACTTGAAGAATTTGATGACTTGGCTGATAGTGAGGACACCCCCTTAGATAGTACTTGGACTTTTCCTATGAGTTTAGGTATTGTACCCCTTGTTCCCGATACCTCTCAGTCAAATGTTGTGTGTCCCACTCTTATCCCATCCAAAGGTATTGATGATTTGTGTAATCATGCTCTTTGCAAGGAAACTTTGAGAAATTGGAATTTGATCATTCTAACAGTTCAAATTGCATATAACAATTCTGTAAATCAGTCTCTAGGTCTAAATCCATTTGAAGTTGTTCATAGTTATAAGTCTAGGCGGCAGTCAGATCTTATTCTCATGTCCCCGAGTGCTAGTGTGTCATTGTCAGCTGAAATATTTGTATATCATCTTCATGACTTACATACTGAGATCAATAAATATCTTGACGCAAGTAATGCATCATATAAACCTCAAGCTGATTGGCATAAACAACATTTTGAATTTAACATTGGGGATTATGTTATATTGCAAGCTTGTAGTGTTGGTCCTTGTGAAATTTTAAAGCATGTTAGCTCAAATACATGTGTCATTGATCTTTTATCACACTTTGACCACCACACTATTTTAACTGTTCAGAACTTCGTTGCTTACAAAAACTATTTTTACCCCTTTAATGATCATTTTCTACCTCAACATGAGAATTCCTATACTGAATCTTTTGATATGTCTGCTTCAATACATCTGTCACAGCACACAAAGATAAAATTAATGTTATTTTAGATGAACGTGTTGTATTGACCAATGATGACAAAATTCAGTACTTCCTTGTTTGTTGGGTAGATCGACGTGCTTCTTATGCTCCTCATTATGTACAACCATGTGAAAAATCTTAAAGATGAGGTACATGAGTATTTGTTATATAGAGTCCAATATCAATACTTGGTTAGAAGGAAAGATCGCGCCTCTTGGCCAGATCATATTCTTAGGAATAAGCTACAGTTTTTAGTACTATCAATCATGGAATTTCGGTACTTGGTTCTTCAGAAAGATCCTCCCCAGTGGCTTGACTTGAAGCATTTGGAGTATCAAATTGATTGCAGCCTATAGTGATCTATCCACTCGACAGGGTCGAGTTTTCTCCCACCCGGGAGAAGAATTGATGAGGACATCTACTTTTTATTTATTTTTAGTTGGACTCTATTTATGTTTTGAGATTCTTATTTATGTAATTGGGCTTGTATCGGCTCAAATCCATTCTAGTTAGGGCTTTATTGTTACTATTTAAACCTAATTTGCCTTGTAATTTTCTTTAGTTTTTTATGAATGAATAATATTTTGGTGGCTTGTTGTCTATGGCTTCTCCTTCCTTTACCTCTCCCTCTTTCCAATGAATTTCTGCTTTTTCTCCAGTTTCTCCCCTCATTCTCTCCGATTCTCCCATCTTTCTTGCTTCTTCTTTCTATTCTTTAATTCGTCTTGCATCACCTTCAGGTACCAAAAATAACAGCGAGACAAACTAAAATCATCCTTCAATAAATTGAGTTAGACAATGACACCAAAAGGAAATGAAAGGGATAAAAGGGTGAAGGCAAATTGAGATGAGGTTACTTTTAATCCAACTATTTAAATTCCACTTGACTGTACTGTGCTTCCTAGAGAAATTCCGTGAATGAAGTTGTAAAAGGCTGTTCTCATGGCACCTAAGTGTGACCACCGCTAGTACTTTTTTTTTCACTTTATTTCTTTCTATTTCTATTAACTAGTAGATATTGTATAACCCTTAAGATGAGAATTTACTCCTTTTCTAGAGCACTGATAAGTGACAATTGAGCCTAAAAGTATTAGCACTCCATATACAGATAGTAGGTACAAGTAGCTACTGAAATTACATATTTATAATCTATATTATAAATTTAATGGAGGAGCTTTTGAGTAACTTGGATTTGTAGACAAATTTGATTAGTTTAAATCATTCATGTAAACATGGAACCACGAGCTTTTGCCTGAAAACAACATAACTATATGATTAATAGCAGGCAGCAATGAAGTTGAACAAAATATATAAACTGTTAAATGAACATATCTGAAATCATGTGCCCTTGTGACATGACATAATGCATGTCCACGTTATACACCACTTCCTCCATCAACAATTATTCCACACAGCATATTTGGCTAAGCTTAAAAAGTATACTAGTAAGTACATTAGTAGGTTTTAAATTAAATAATTTTTTAATGGTCAATGTTGAAAATAATTTACTCATTTAACAGGAAGGCATGAGTTACTTTCAGATAAGTGCCCTTCTTTATTTAAAAATCAACAAAGCAAAAATTATCAGAATATGTTTAGTAAAACATGCTCATAGGCCAGGAAAAACTGCATCCCTGTTCCTTCAGCATTTTCCACGTCCATCATCTCCATTTCATACTCATTTTTCCATCATTCTAAAGGGAAGTGTGCACAAAGAAGAAGAGAACCATCATGAGAACTAAACTCATGGGCGCATCTGATCGACCACCAAAAAGATTGTTTTATCTCTTATTCTCGCTTCTTGTAAAATAGATTTTAATTCTATCCTTGCCACAAATTATTTACCCTGAAAATCACTTATTAACTTGTGATCTTATGTCTCACTATAAATCAAGTATACACATTAAGATACTTTATGTTTTATTAAGTGGTAACAATTTAGACTAGCATCAGTTTTTGGTCTATCTCCATTTGTTGAGCTAAAGCGCCACCATCTCCACACATATATAACACTACATAACAACCACTTCTCCATATTGTGAAACAGTAAATTTAAATAAGTCCCATTACTGGCATAAGAGAAGATAGAGTTCATAAGATCAAGTCGTCCATTTATAAAAATCGTGTGTGCCAGACTTGGATGAAAAAAGTGATTTACATGTGAAGGGCATGATGGTGTAGATTAAAGTTAAATAGCAAAAATGTGTCCCCTCTCGAGGAACTTAAACTTATAAATAGATTTTTAAATAAATACTATTTTAGAATAACGAAAATATACACCAAGAAGTGGAAATTAACAGCAATTGAAGAAAAATTAAGTCAATGACGAAGTAAATGGTTAAGACATGTCCTGCATATGTCTAAAGAGGAGCAATGTCTGAAGAGGAAGAGAAGAGAGAAGTGTTGAGTAGAGAGGAAGATAGTGTGTTGTGGAGGGTGCCTAGATTCTTCATGTCTTCAGATTGCCCCTCCCCTGCAATTCACATATGTATGGAATCTCTCCTTAAAAAACATAGGAGGATAAATAATTATCAGCAACCAGCTACTGAAATGATGAACTGATTGCATGTCAGGGAGTGCTTATCAGAAACTAACTACTTCTAAACACCGTGCTACGAATCCAGTGACAACCAGAGTTATGAAAACAAATAAATAAAGCATTACATAGCTTACCTCCCGTCAGCCTGCTGAAGGTTTCTCATTGATCCTAGCAAAGATTTAGAGTCAACAAGTGATAAATCATAGCCAACAGTCTTTAATATGGCTAGGGCACAGTAAGTGCTTGCCAGGTGACTTCCATTGGGGATTGCTACCTACAAGTGGAAAAATAAATCCTAAAGAAGCATTCAATAACTGCCACAACAAAAGAGAATACACCATTTAGAAGGATTTCTGCAGAAATCACTCTGCGTATAACCTGTTCATGTACCCCATCATCAGTCAAATGATATTGAGAGCTTCTAGAACCATGGAAACCATAAAATTGTCCTGCATTTTTAAAGTAACCATTAATCATACTAATTATATACTTAATTCTGCCAAACAAAATAAACATTTCCTGCAAAAGCAAAAAAACATTACCATTGTTCAATTCAACCTCGTTCTTTGGATGAGATTGCAATGACAAAACCCAATGAATCATTGCTTCTTTGTCAGTCTAGAGAACCAAAAAAAAAAATATATATTGTTTCAAAGAAATGTTGAGGGGGAAGGTTGTCTAATTTTCTACCTTCCACTTCTTTTCTGCCATGACTTGTGAAAGAGATGTTTCATATTAACTGGTGTACATTTCTTTTCACAAACAAGATCGATGAGGCTCGCATTTCCCCAAAAATTGAAGCATTGGAGCTTACATTCTAAAAACAATAAATTGCACATCGGCAATGAAAGTTACACTACAATATATACAGTACAATGAAGTAGAAAAGCAAAAATGCAAAATTATGTTCCCGCCATGGATAAATTTTTCCAATGATTATGTATATTGCAAAAACTAATCCCAATACACGATTTCGCCTCTAAAGGGTCACAATTTACATCTAAACATTCAATAAGCTTAGGATTCAAAACAAACTTTAATTAATTAACAAAAAATTTAGAAATCCATCCATGGGTTGCAATGCTTATCTACTTCATTTTGGTTTATGTTAGACATACAGCTTGGTCATTACTCTCTCATACCATATTAAATTCGAATTTGAAAACCATCGAATTCCCCAAAGATAATAATCCAAATCGATCAAATTGAATAGAATTTCACAAGGAGCATACGCGATCAAGAGCAGCGAGGATGTCGAGGCCAGTGATGACGAAGTATGCGAGTGTGATGCGGTTGATTTCTTGGGTTTGATATGGGGATGGCAACAGTTGGTACATCATCTCCAAAAAGCGTATGTGCCGAGCCCTATCAAAAGATAATGAATTTGAAGGGGAATCTGGTGCATCATCCCTGATTGAATCGTCGTCCGCCATATTTGAGGTTGAGTTCTGGATATCGTACTATTTGAATTGAACGAGATCTGGAGGGTTTTTCCTTTGCTTCACTTGGATTTTGTGGACTTGAATCTCTAATAAACTGAAAAGGACCCAACTTTGAGTAAAATTTCATTTTAGTCATTCAACTTTTTTTATTTTTTATTTTTCGAACTCGCACCTTCGTCTGAATGTTAAGCTCCTGTTTAGCCACCATTTCTTAAAATTTGCTTTCCACCAAACTCATTTTTAGTTATACGTTTTTTAAATAGTATCAATTTTATCAACTTTTATCAAAATCAAACATAACTAAATATCTTTGTTGTATTTGAACTTTTTTAAATATAATTATATCCGTAGAACCGTCTTATTTGTTGTACCTGATATTTATCTTAATGAAAGTTTGGAACATTCACGCATTATTGCATTTATGTCCTTAACTTTTTTTATTGCGTCATTATACTTGACCTTTAATTAATTAACACTTTTTGTTCCTAATGATAATTTGTGTCAAATTATTAGTTAATGTGATTTGAAATAGTGGTCAAACTTTCGTATCTTTTTTTACTCTTAAATATGGGGGCAAATACATTTTTTATACTCTCGTAATGAGATTTTCTGAATGATATTATTATCATGGATAAAATGTGCTAATCAATGAAATATTTGATAAGAATACAATTTAAGAAAAAAAAAACTATGATGTAAGTGCGTCAATGAATAGAAGTTGAAAACTTTCGTTACGTTTATAATATGTGTAGCAAACAAAAATTGTAGAATAAATATAATTACATTTTTTTTAAATTCAAAAGAAACTCCATTAAAAAAAACTCCCGGCACAACATGTGACATAAAATGAAGAATACATTCGAGTCAATTATATGGGATAATTTTAAGGTAGATTGAGAGGTAAGCGCTAGATGGCTTCATTCTAGTTTAGGAGAATAAAACAATTAGAACTGCAATTTATATTTTAAACTCAAGGAAAAGCTACAATATCAAAGCAAATATAAACATTTGATGGGAAGCTAAAGTCCGATATAAGGCAATGAATCATGTGAAGAGCATCCCATTAGTCAGCTGCAATAGGTAATCCATGAATTTTAGTCGATAGCAAACCTATTCGAAGCGCAACAACTTTGACGTCTTCGGTCAAAAAAATTCGCTCTTATCTCATTGTGATCATGCACTTATATAGCCACCCCAATGCCGGGACATTTAATCCTATTATTCAGAGTTGAACATGCATTGCATTTTTTTTAAATACTTTATAACTGTTGTAAAAATAATATTTGATACCAGTTTGTAAAAAGGATTTGCCAAGTCTCAAACAAACTAAATAAAATAAAATTTTGCCACTTTTTGTCACCCATTATTTGGAAAATTAAAGAAATTTGAATAGTATTTTTTAGAGAATGTGTGGTTACAAAATAAAGAAACTTTTATTGGTTTGTGCATATAATATTTTATTACGTGAATGTATAATGAAGAATAATGTTGTAGCAAACAATTTGAAATTTTAAAGGGACCAAACGGGCACTCAATATAAAAATTTAATAGAAGAAAATCGTACTTTCAAAACTCAACTTCTATGATTTAAATTTTTGTGATGATGAGACACTACATAATGAATAATATTTTTATACTACATTTAATAATACATGAATTCAAAACACCCATTGAAATTCATATATACATGAATAGAAATAAATTCATCTGTAATAACTCTAAATTCATGTAGATCAAGATTTCTCAAGTCAAAATTCATTGAATATAAAATAGTATGAATGTTAATTAATTGAGAATTAATAACACGAATTCATACATAACAAGAATTTTTTGTAGTATTTATTATATATTAAAAATGAAAAGTAAGTCATATCATTATTGAAATAATTAAATTGTAGTAATGTTAAAACTGTCCAAAAATGATTATCGCTTGATGTGATATGTAATATATTATTAGGAAAAATTGCAGTCGAGATACCAAATATTTCGTTTATTAGCAGACCTTGCCCAAACCTTTAGTTTGTGCCACTGGAGGTACCAAACCTTTCAAAAATCCGCACCCGAAGAAACCGTCTGTTTGACTATTAGTTGACCAATAAAATTAAATATTGACCAAATTTTAACTAATTGAAAAGGGTAAAAAAATAAAAATTATTTAACCCTATAATAAAACAATTAAAATAAATAACTAAAACTAAAAAAGATACTATTCATCTCCTTCTTCACCCACCCCACCCCCCACCCTACCCCTACCAAGACACCACGTTCTTCCCTTTTTCACCAGTTTTCTTCTTCAAAAAAACAAAAAACCAACACAAAAGTAGAAAATGCAGAGAGAATCTATGAAGTAAAAGAGTTGATTACCAAATCCATAGCCTCCCTCTTCAGAGCATCCACAGCTTCATCTTTTTCCACCATCTCTGAACGCACAAACAAAAACAACTGGAAAATCAATTTTTAAAACCAACATATGCAAGTATATATGCAAACCCACAAATCGTCATGTAAATTTATGTTGAAATTAGATGAAAACACCAAGTAAAATTGAAAAGGGAACTCACTGGACAAATTGATTAAATAGTGTGGTATAGGTAGAAATGATGTGCAGAGGGTGGGTTGGATTAGAAATGGAATGGAGCAAATTCTGCCATCCTTTTGATCTCTATTTTCTCTCACTCACAAGCACTCACTCGTGTATTAGAAGGAGGAAGATAATATTTTACATTTTACACTTTACAATATGGTTTGGATGGGGTGGGGGTAGGGTGGGTGAGTGGAGTGGGTGAAGAAGGAGATGAATAGTATTTTTTTGTTTTTTTGTTTTAGTTATTTATTTTAATTGTTTTATTATAGGGTTAAATAACTTTTACTTTTTATCCTTTTCAATTAGTCAAAAATTGGTCAATGTTTAATTTTATTGGTCAACTAACGGTC